TCGTGTCAAAACTCTAGCATTGGACCATTCTCATCTTCAAAATTGAAGTTATGGTGCAAAACCCACTATCTTCTGAACCGTACGTGAAAATTCAGGTTATTGTCCTTTCAAAAAATTTCCAGGCTGGTCTTCAAAACCACCACTCTAATAGCTTCGGGGTCCTCCTTTACGTGGACGTTCCACGGTATCGCCGATAATATTTGTATCAAAAATTATAATTTTTTAAAATTAAGTTATAATTTTTTTAAAATATAACTTACAACTTGAAAAAATATAATTGATCATGAAATATAAGGATCGATACCACATTTTTCATGATTGATCATAGGTTTCTGTAATCGATCATAAACTCCATTGAATAGTTGTAAGTTGTAATTTCTTCTTCAAAATTTTAATTTTATTGTATAAAATAGTAACTAACGGTACTGATATTAAATTTTTTTTTTTTTGGGGCGTAAAGTTTGCCCTTTTATGTGGATGTAATTGTCAACAACTCCCTTATTCCAAATTCCGTTGTCCAATCTTTGCACAAACACTGCCTTTCTAGTCCACCACCATCTGTTCGATCTTTTTCCTATTTAAGTTACAGAGCCCAAATCAGAATTAGATCACCCTTGCCCCCCAATACCTCACGACTACAGTCTCCACCACACCCACCCATCAAAGAATTCCCTTTTCACGTTTTTGTTTATAACTGTCAAGTATCGGCTCAATTATACATTTTTTAAACTCGTAAATGTTACGATAAACTTGAATGCATGCAATTATTAAATCAATCAATATTTACGTGTTTTACAAGACTCAAACCTTGAAATTTAAAAATATTAATTCCTAAAACTATGTCATCCATGCCACCTTGACAGGTTAAGAATGTCACATCTTGAACTGAAAGAACGTACGAGGATAGCAAGAAATAGGTCCAGCTTGTTGGTCTGAAATGAACTAAAAATTTTGCTTTTAAGATAGCTATTGTTCCACCTAATCTAAGCATTATATCTTTGACAAACCACCACTTTGTTAGATGCCTTGACCAGAGTTTCGAATGTAAAACTCACTATGGAGTGTTTTGGGTAATTGGGACGAGTCGTAAATTAAATATTTTGTGAAAAAATTTTAGAGTCAATCACGAGAGATTTATCTCTCATGAATATTTTAATCTTGACATAAATGACTTATTTTTGATCAAATCCAAAAAAAGATCAATCAAAATATGTGTAAATTAATCCATATAGCAACAACACCAAAGCAAGGCCTAGGGGAACACGGCCATCTCTAATCAAATCAAAAAAAAATTTAATCAAAATGCACATAAATTGATAAAGATAACAATAAAACCAAAGCAGGGCCTAGGAACACGGCCCCCTCTATGCCTAGGGGAAGACGGCCCCTCTATACTTCCGGACCCCTATGTGTATATAATAGTTGGAAGAATGAGGTCAGTGCAGGACCACCCCCGCCCTTCTCTCCCCAAAAACCCCAACCACCCCACACCACCCAAAAACCAATTTCTACCGGCAATTCCTCTTTTAAGTTTTTCATTTTCATTCAATAATTATCTTTATAAAATATTCTTTTCATAATAAAATAATATTTTCTTTTATCATTAAATCTTCTCCTGGTATATGACAAAATAATTATATAATACTACTTTACAAACTTTATCCAACTTAAAATTCAGCTATACAATGTAATACGGATTCGATCATTGATTAATTTCATGATAAAAAAGAACGTCGAGTTTCACTTTGATTGACGATCGAGGGATACACAATATCAAACTTTTTATTTTTGTTCATTTTTATTTTTTGTAGCTATCTTTGTTTGTATTTTATATACAATGGTTTTTGATATATTTTTATACATTAAAATAGTAAAATATTGGATTCGTCCCTCAGAACATCTTTCTTTGTGTCTTGAATTTCATTTTTTCTCAAACAAAAATAATTTTAAGGAAAATAACACGTTTTTTTCCTTAAAAAAAGTTTAGTTCATACTGGTGTTTTACATGCTTGGCTAATATAAATGGGTGATTCAGAATGTGATAAGCCAACGCATTAGGATAATTTGGAAAGTAAGACGTAGGAGTTCGAAACATACGTAATTGTGACGAAGCTCAATCACAGATAAAAAAGGGGGATAGATCTCTCGATGTTACGCATGTCATCGGTTACTATTTTACCTTCAAATTTTGTTATGAAGAACTATCATGACTTTTTAAATTTGAGGTTCTCTCTCAATTTTAGTTCATGAACTTGCAATAACCCCTTCGATAAATGGAAGTGTTTCTAGAAAAAGAAAAATCTGTTGACAGGATTGATGGAAATAAATTATTGGGTGGTTTGCTACTTTCTTAGTAAGAATGCATTCATATAGTCGGATAGATTGTTAAAGACTAGTTTATGTTCTGCCCATTTCTTTATAATTTTTAATTTTGATCGATCATAATTTCGTACTTGGGTATTGCATTCAACAATGTGATATATGTTTTACAAGCAAAATTTTATTATTCGTGCACACTGATTATGGTATTCTATCCTCTACGATTCTCTTATCATTTTATTTTAGGTCTATAAACTAGTATAACCAAAGTAAGTGATACCCACCGAATACGGGGTGGGCTTACTACAGTGATTTGGGCGATTGGTGGCCCCTTTGAGAGATGCGTCATTGCCACTAGATGAGTGGTAGCTCACACTCAAAGCACTTCCGGCAGAGAGTTCTAGTCGTTTGCTGCAGTCCCTTTTCTGCCATCACTTGTGCGATATTCATTTTTGATTGGTTTTATCCATCCCTAACCCTAATGAATCAAAGTATGAGGGGTCATTCAACTAATCTGTTATTCACGTGCCTACCTAACATAGTGGATGACTATCATCATTTGGGTTAGATTGTTTTGCTTCACCCCATAACTTTGTGTTTGCTTTTTCGGTTTACTACTTGTGAGTTTGCTTAGTTATCTTACTGCTTGGGATTTAAAGCTTGAAAATGTTCATTCTATTATGACAGAAGTCATTTGACGCAAATATTTCCCAAGTTTGGAACAAATATTTATTAGTTCAGCTATTGTTATTAATATTAAAATCGGTACCTCTAAAAGTTATTACTTACATGGGTGTTTTATGATTTTTGTGATTTATTTTACAACTAAAAAATTTACTATATTTACGGGTAATTTATCACTGTTGTGGATTTTTTAACGACTATTGTTGTAATTATTTTTATTATTTTTCGTTGATACAAAAATAAATTATCGTTTTTATGGGTGATTTAGCATATTTGTGGGCACTTTTACTACTCTTGTGAAACCACAATAGTGGTCAATTTTTGTACGGTATTAATTTCTTTTTTCCGATATTGTAGACAACTCCTAAAGGAAAAAGTATTATGTAGTTTTTAATTCTATTTATTAATTAAAAAAAAACCGACTTGATTACCGTGAATCCCGCTTCAATTTATATGATTATTAATAGGAAAAATTGAATTGCATTGTAGGAAAACCTGCATATATATATATATACATAAATGCAAGTGTTTTTTGGATTGATCCAAATTTATTAAAGATGTTAAGATATGTTTATCCCATCTTAATTATGCATTTATTAATTCTCTGTTTTTTAAGTCTCCCTTATCTTGCCATCTCAATAGGTTTTGTCTTTTTCTAGATAAGTTAATGCATACATCTCTGGAAGTTGCAGATTTGCACTATAGATTTATGTGATTTTGTTTTTAGAAGAATCATTACATCATGATTTAACTTATATCAATAATAGAATTAAAAACTGCATAATACTTTTTCCTTTAGGAGTTGTCTACGGTATCAAAAAAAAAAAAAGAAATTGATACCGTATCAAAATTTATCATTGTTGTGGTTCAACAACAGTAATAAAAACGCCTACAAATATGCTAAATCATCCCAAAATATGATAATTTATTTTTGTAACAACGAAAGATGGGAAAAATAATTACCACAATAGTCATTAAAAAATTCACAACAGTGATAAATTACCTGTAAAAATAATAAATTTTTTGGTTGTACAATGACCCACAAAAATCGTAAAACACCCATGTAAGTAATAAAGTTTAGAAGTAAGGTACCGATTTTAATATTAATAACAATAGTTGAACTAATAAATATTTGTTATTAATAAATGCATAATTAAGATGGGATAAACATATCTTAACATCTTCAAATAAATTTGGATTAATCCAAAAAACACTTGCATTTATGTATATATATATATGCAGGTTTTCCTACAATGCAATTCAATTTTTCTTATTAATAATCATATAAATTGAATCGGAATTCACATTAATCAAGTCGGTTTTTAACTAATACTTGGTAATATAGCGGGTTGAGATCATGGTATGAGAAGATGTTTATTATAATTGATGCATACATACTTACACATATAGATATCACTACAAGAAAAAGATGACGGGAAATTATGCATTTATTATAATGTCATAATTTACCGAGTATGTTGGATTATAATATGCTACTCGTCTTAGTTTATTCAAAGTTTATTATGCGGGGAAAAGAGCATTGGTGGAGATCGTTTTCGTCATTTTTGTAAAGGGCAAATGACAGTTTTTACCTTGAAAAATTATAAAATTTTTTATTTATACTCTCAAATATCAATTATTTTAAATTACACTTTTAATAAAATTAATTAGTAATATTGTGATTTCCGTTAAATTGACATACACGTGATTTCCGTTAAATTGACATACACGTGAGAGGCACTTGAGAAAGGAAAGTTTGCCATAATCCAATAAAAGTCATTATGCGTCTTGCACACACACATATACACGTAGAGAGAGAGAGAGAGAGAGAATAACGCAACAGTGCATTCAATGGATTCCAAACATTTGTTCACCGACCTCCGCTTATTTAAACCCTTTTCTCTCCTTACTCTCAACAACCATCTCTCTCTCTCTCTCTCTCTCTCTCTCTCTCTCTCCACATTGTCAACAGGTTTTTTGCACTTACAAACATGCAAATGGTTGCCTCTTGGCCACTCTCACCACCGTCCTCTCTTCCAACAAACAATCAAGAAACTGCACAAAAACCTCTAGTTTTTGATGCATCCATTTTAAACCACCAGCCAAACATACCCCCACATTTCATCTGGCCGGACGACGAAAAGCCGTGTCGTGAGCCACCACCTATTCTTCTTCTTCCTCCAATCGACTTAAAAGCCTTCCACTCCGGTGACCCTCTTACTATATCAAACTACACCAAGCTTGTCAATGAGGCATGTCAAAAGCATGGTATGTTTCTAGTAGTAAACCATGGCATCGATTCACAGCTTATAAATGAAGCTCATAAGAATTTGGACTACTTCTTTCAAACCCCACTTGCAGAGAAGCAAAAAGTTCAGAGAAAACTTGGTGATCATTCTGGATATTCTAGTAGTTTTACTAATAGATTCTCCTCCAAGCTTCCATGGAAAGAAACTCTTTCTTTTCGAGTTTGTGTTGATGATCAGTACACAAACATGGTGGAGGAGTACTTCTTGAATGCAATGGGTGAAGATTTCAGACATTTTGGGTATGAGTCTAATGATTTAAGTGAATGTTAGATGTTTGGGTAAAACTAGAATGTCAACAGTTACTTTTCAGTACTGTACATAAAATTACTCAAAGAATTTATGACTCAATTTAGTGATGAGATTAGAAATAAAACGGGTTTGTCAAGAATTAATCCTAATATTCATGGTCGACCCCCTTTTTTTGACTCATAATTGAACCTTTTTGAATCCTAAATGAGTTATTACAAACCTTATCTAGTTACAAATTTTGATACAATATGATTTGAATTTCCATTGATTTGTTGCTAACATTTATGGCCATTTTGGTTTTGTTTAGGAGGATTTGCCAAGAATATTGTGAAGCCATGAGCTCTCTCTCTCTAAGAATCATGGAGCTTTTGGGCATGAGCCTAGGAGTTGGCCCTGCACATTTCAGAGAATTCTTTGAAGGAAATGATTCCATAATGAGATTAAACTACTACCCTCCTTGCCAAAAACCAGATGTTACACTTGGAACTGGGCCCCACTGTGACCCCACATCTTTAACCATCCTTCACCAGGATGATGTGGGTGGTCTTGAAGTGTTTGATGATAAAAAGTGGCATTCCATTCCTCCCAATTCAGAAGCTTTTGTTGTCAATATTGGTGACACATTCATGGTAACATTATCCATGTTTTTGTTCCTCTCATTATCCAAACTCTCAAGTAGTTGTCTTTAGAAATGCAAAATCTGTGATGGTTTCCAAAATGTTTTTTCTTTTTTAAATGGTGAGATGTCTAGGTTAATTTATGCGTAATTTTCTCTCTGCACCTGTCAAAGGTAGGTTATCTACGTCGGGACTAGGATATTCATGAAGGATAAATTCTTCATGGTCTAACTCTAAAGAATTTAAACTCTGGACGTCTGTTTTTAAATATATTAAAGATAAATTAAGACTATCATATTTAGGAGTTGCTAATGTACCGAAAGTTAATACAAAAATAAGGGTAGAATTATAACTCAATATTGTGATATTAAAATGAAACAAGGTTGTTTGATATCAATCCTAATATTGTAGGATCCATCTATGCTATTTTAAGTCGTAACAGTTCTTTTGAAGATCCAAATACAATAATAAAATATTAATCTTCAATACCTCTTTTTTTTTTTTCCATCCAATAACAATGTGAGAAATGTAAAGTTTAAATACTTTATTATGTTGCATTACTTTATTCTTTTGTGACTATAAATAAACCAAACCAAGAACTATGGTTACAAATATTTTTTAGTGCGGTATCGAAATTTTTTTTACTCTAGCTTTATCACTTCTTAAATCGTACCTTGATATCAAATGAGTTGCCGGTGTATAAATTTCGATTCACTCCGATATCGAAGTCAATATTGCAGTCTTACCAGATATATATAAAATGGAATGATCATGTGTTCTTTTTTCAGGCTCTGTCAAATGGGATCTACAAGAGTTGCTTGCACAGAGCTGTGGTGAATAATAGAACTCCCAGAAAATCTCTTGCATTCTTTCTTTGTCCGAGGAAGGACAAGGTTGTAAGCCCACCAAAACAGCTTGTTGACACTGATAATCCAAGGAAATATCCAGATTTCTCATGGCCAACTCTCCTAGAATTCACACAGAAACATTACAGAGCTGACATGGAAACCCTCTCAGCCTTCACAAACTGGCTTCAACAAAAGAACATCACAGGAGATACAGAAAACTATTGACTCCTAGCCCTAAACTCCGGGCTGAGGCAAGTGCAAGGGCAGAGCTACATTGGTTCTAGGGACTTTTGAAAAACCTCCATTGTATTTATATGATAAAAGTTCACAACACTTGTGAAATGGTACAATATTCTCTTTTAATTTCTGAAAAGTTTGTATAATAGCTGATTTTTCAGCAAGTAATGGCCTAGTGCCCCCTTATCAAATGAAACATATATTTTGTTTTTGATAATTTAGTGTTACATAGCCCGATAACACAATTATATGCAAATCATAAAATACCTAACCGAAAAGCGACAACCAAAAGCATTTGTTGTTTTTTCAATAAAATCAAATTTTCAACAAGATAAAAATAATCTCAGTTGGGCTTTATCATAAGATGAAGGATGAATTGCTATGAAATTTAAAATTGAACTGATCAAATATAGATAATTTTTAGGAGTTGAGAGAACATCGTGCTCTACTTAAATGTGGTTTTTTTTTTTTNCAATACCTCACGACTACAGTCTCCACCACACCCACCCATCAAAGAATTCCCTTTTCGCGTTTTTGTTTATAACTGTCAAGTATCGGCTCAATTATACATTTTTTAAACTCGTAAATGTTACGATAAACTTGAATGCACGCAATTATTAAATCAATCAATATTTACGTGTTTTACAAGACTCAAACCTTGAAATTTAAAAATATTAATTCCTGAAACTATGTCATCCATGCCACCTTGACAGGTTAAGAATGTCACATCTTGAACTGAAAGAACGTACGAGGATAGCAAGAAATAGGTCCAGCTTGTTGGTCTGAAATGAACTAAAAATTTTGCTTTTAAGATAGCTATTGTTCCACCTAATCTAAGCATTATATCTTTGACAAACCACCACTTTGTTAGATGCCTTGACCAGAGTTTCGAATGTAAAACTCACTATGGAGTGTTTTGGGTAATTGGGACGAGTCGTAAATTAAATATTTTGTGAAAAAATTTTAGAGTCAATCACGAGAGATTTATCTCTCATGAATATTTTAATCTTGACATAAATGACTTATTTTTGATCAAATCCAAAAAAAGATCAATCAAAATATGTGTAAATTAATCCATATAGCAACAACACCAAAGCAAGGCCTAGGGGAACACGGCCATCTCTAATCAAATCAAAAAAAANTAAGTTACAGAGCCCAAATCAGAATTAGATCACCCTTGCCCCCCAATACCTCACGACTACAGTCTCCACCACACCCACCCATCAAAGAATTCCCTTTTCGCGTTTTTGTTTATAACTGTCAAGTATCGGCTCAATTATACATTTTTTAAACTCGTAAATGTTACGATAAACTTGAATGCACGCAATTATTAAATCAATCAATATTTACGTGTTTTACAAGACTCAAACCTTGAAATTTAAAAATATTAATTCCTGAAACTATGTCATCCATGCCACCTTGACAGGTTAAGAATGTCACATCTTGAACTGAAAGAACGTACGAGGATAGCAAGAAATAGGTCCAGCTTGTTGGTCTGAAATGAACTAAAAATTTTGCTTTTAAGATAGCTATTGTTCCACCAAATCTAAGCATTATATCTTTGACAAACCACCACTTTGTTAGATGCCTTGACCAGAGTTTCGAATGTAAAACTCACTATGGAGTGTTTTGGGTAATTGGGACGAGTCGTAAATTAAATATTTTGTGAAAAAATTTTAGAGTCAATCACGAGAGATTTATCTCTCATGAATATTTTAATCTTGACATAAATGACTTATTTTTGATCAAATCCAAAAAAAGATCAATCAAAATATGTGTAAATTAATCCATATAGCAACAACACCAAAGCAAGGCCTAGGGGAACACGGCCATCTCTAATCAAATCAAAAAAAAATTTAATCAAAATGCACATAAATTGATAAAGATAACAATAAAACCAAAGCAGGGCCTAGGAACACGGCCCCCTCTATGCCTAGGGGAAGACGGCCCCTCTATACTTCCGGACCCCTATGTGTATATAATAGTTGGAAGAATGAGGTCAGTGCAGGACCACCCCCGCCCTTCTCTCCCCAAAAACCCCAACCACCCCACACCACCCAAAAACCAATTTCTACCGGCAATTCCTCTTTTAAGTTTTTCATTTTCATTCAATAATTATCTTTATAAAATATTCTTTTCATAATAAAATAATATTTTCTTTTATCATTAAATCTTCTCCTGGTATATGACAAAATAATTATATAATACTACTTTACAAACTTTATCCAACTTAAAATTCAGCTATACAATGTAATACGGATTCGATCATTGATTAATTCATGATAAAAAAGAACGTCGAGTTTCACTTTGATTGACGATCGAGGGATATATAATATCAAGCTTTTTATATTTGTTCATTTTTATTTTTTGTAGCTAACTTTGTTTGTATTTTGTATACAATGGTTTTTGATATATTTTTATACATTAAAATAGTAAAATCTTGGATTCGTCCCTCAGAACATCTTTCTTTGTGTCTTGAATTTCATTTTTCCTCAAACAAAAATAATTTTAAGGAAAATAACACGTTTTTTTCCTTAAAAAAAGTTTAGTTCATACTGGTGTTTTACATGCTTGGCTAATATAAATGGGTGATTCAGAATGTGATAAGCCAACGCATTAGGATAATTTGGAAAGTAAGACGTAGGAGTTCGAAACATACGTAATTGTGACGAAGCTCAATCACAGATAAAAAAGGGGGATAGATCTCTCGATGTTACGCATGTCATCGGTTACTATTTTACCTTCAAATTTTGTTATGAAGAACTATCATGACTTTTTAAATTTGAGGTTCTCTCTCAATTTTAGTTCATGAACTTGCAATAACCCCTTCGATAAATGGAAGTGTTTCTAGAAAAAGAAAAATCTGTTGACAGGATTGATGGAAATAAATTATTGGGTGGTTTGCTACTTTCTTAGTAAGAATGCATTCATATAGTCGGATAGATTGTTAAAGACTAGTTTATGTTCTGCCCATTTCTTTATAATTTTTAATTTTGATCGATCATAATTTCGTACTTGGGTATTGCATTCAACAATGTGATATATGTTTTACAAGCAAAATTTTATTATTCGTGCACACTGATTATGGTATTCTATCCTCTACGATTCTCTTATCATTTTATTTTAGGTCTATAAACTAGTATAACCAAAGTAAGTGATACCCACCGAATACGGGGTGGGCTTACTACAGTGATTTGGGCGATTGGTGGCCCCTTTGAGAGATGCGTCATTGCCACTAGATGAGTGGTAGCTCACACTCAAAGCACTTCCGGCAGAGAGTTCTAGTCGTTTGCTGCAGTCCCTTTTCTGCCATCACTTGTGCGATATTCATTTTTGATTGGTTTTATCCATCCCTAACCCTAATGAATCAAAGTATGAGGGGTCATTCAACTAATCTGTTATTCACGTGCCTACCTAACATAGTGGATGACTATCATCATTTGGGTTAGATTGTTTTGCTTCACCCCATAACTTTGTGTTTGCTTTTTCGGTTTACTACTTGTGAGTTTGCTTAGTTATCTTACTGCTTGGGATTTAAAGCTTGAAAATGTTCATTCTATTATGACAGAAGTCATTTGACGCAAATATTTCCCAAGTTTGGAACAAATATTTATTAGTTCAGCTATTGTTATTAATATTAAAATCGGTACCTCTAAAAGTTATTACTTACATGGGTGTTTTATGATTTTTGTGATTTATTTTACAACTAAAAAATTTACTATATTTACGGGTAATTTATCACTGTTGTGGATTTTTTAACGACTATTGTTGTAATTATTTTTATTATTTTTCGTTGATACAAAAATAAATTATCGTTTTTATGGGTGATTTAGCATATTTGTGGGCACTTNTTGTTGTAATTATTTTTATTATTTTTCGTTGATACAAAAATAAATTATCGTTTTTGTGGGTGATTTAGCATATTTGTGGGCACTTTTACTACTCTTGTGAAACCACAATAGTGGTAAATTTTGGTACGGTATTAATTTCTTTTTTCCGATATTGTAGACAACTCCTAAAGGAAAAAGTATTATGTAGTTTTTAATTCTATTTATTAATTAAAAAAAAACCGACTTGATTACCGTGAATCCCGCTTCAATTTATATGATTATTAATAGGAAAAATTGAATTGCATTGTAGGAAAACCTGCATATATATATATATACATAAATGCAAGTGTTTTTTGGATTGATCCAAATTTATTAAAGATGTTAAGATATGTTTATCCCATCTTAATTATGCATTTATTAATTCTCTGTTTTTTAAGTCTCCCTTATCTTGCCATCTCAATAGGTTTTGTCTTTTTCTAGATAAGTTAATGCATACATCTCTGGAAGTTGCAGATTTGCACTATAGATTTATGTGATTTTTTTTTTAGAAGAATCATTACATCATGATTTAACTTATATCAATAATAGAATTAAAAACTGCATAATACTTTTTCCTTTAGGAGTTGTCTACGGTATCAAAAAAAAAAAAAGAAATTGATACCGTATCAAAATTTATCATTGTTGTGGTTCAACAACAGTAATAAAAACGCCTACAAATATGCTAAATCATCCCAAAATATGATAATTTATTTTTGTAACAACGAAAGATGGGAAAAATAATTACCACAATAGTCATTAAAAAATTCACAACAGTGATAAATTACCTGTAAAAATAATAAATTTTTTGGTTGTACAATGACCCACAAAAATCGTAAAACACCCATGTAAGTAATAAAGTTTAGAAGTAAGGTACCGATTTTAATATTAATAACAATAGTTGAACTAATAAATATTTGTTATTAATAAATGCATAATTAAGATGGGATAAACATATCTTAACATCTTCAAATAAATTTGGATTAATCCAAAAAACACTTGCATTTATGTATATATATATATATATATATGCAGGTTTTCCTACAATGCAATTCAATTTTTCTTATTAATAATCATATAAATTGAATCGGAATTCACATTAATCAAGTCGGTTTTTAACTAATACTTGGTAATATAGCGGGTTGAGATCATGGTATGAGAAGATGTTTATTATAATTGATGCATACATACTTACACATATAGATATCACTACAAGAAAAAGATGACGGGAAATTATGCATTTATTATAATGTCATAATTTACCGAGTATGTTGGATTATAATATGCTACTCGTCTTAGTTTATTCAAAGTTTATTATGCGGGGAAAAGAGCATTGGTGGAGATCGTTTTCGTCATTTTTGTAAAGGGCAAATGACAGTTTTTACCTTGAAAAATTATAAAATTTTTTATTTATACTCTCAAATATCAATTATTTTAAATTACACTTTTAATAAAATTAATTAGTAATATTGTGATTTCCGTTAAATTGACATACACGTGATTTCCGTTAAATTGACATACACGTGAGAGGCACTTGAGAAAGGAAAGTTTGCCATAATCCAATAAAAGTCATTATGCGTCTTGCACACACACATATACACGTAGAGAGAGAGAGAGAGAGAGAATAACGCAACAGTGCATTCAATGGATTCCAAACATTTGTTCACCGACCTCCGCTTATTTAAACCCTTTTCTCTCCTTACTCTCAACAACCATCTCTCTCTCTCTCTCTCTCTCTCTCTCTCTCTCTCCACATTGTCAACAGGTTTTTTGCACTTACAAACATGCAAATGGTTGCCTCTTGGCCACTCTCACCACCGTCCTCTCTTCCAACAAACAATCAAGAAACTGCACAAAAACCTCTAGTTTTTGATGCATCCATTTTAAACCACCAGCCAAACATACCCCCACATTTCATCTGGCCGGACGACGAAAAGCCGTGTCGTGAGCCACCACCTATTCTTCTTCTTCCTCCAATCGACTTAAAAGCCTTCCACTCCGGTGACCCTCTTACTATATCAAACTACACCAAGCTTGTCAATGAGGCATGTCAAAAGCATGGTATGTTTCTAGTAGTAAACCATGGCATCGATTCACAGCTTATAAATGAAGCTCATAAGAATTTGGACTACTTCTTTCAAACCCCACTTGCAGAGAAGCAAAAAGTTCAGAGAAAACTTGGTGATCACTCTGGATATTCTAGTAGTTTTACTAATAGATTCTCCTCCAAGCTTCCATGGAAAGAAACTCTTTCTTTTCGAGTTTGTGTTGATGATCAGTACACAAACATGGTGGAGGAGTACTTCTTGAATGCAATGGGTGAAGATTTCAGACATTTTGGGTATGAGTCTAATGATTTAAGTGAATGTTAGATGTTTGGGTAAAACTAGAATGTCAACAGTTACTTTTCAGTACTGTACATAAAATTACTCAAAGAATTTATGACTCAATTTAGTGATGAGATTAGAAATAAAACGGGTTTGTCAAGAATTAATCCTAATATTCATGGTCGACCCCCTTTTTTTGACTCATAATTGAACCTTTTTGAATCCTAAATGAGTTATTACAAACCTTATCTAGTTACAAATTTTGATACAATATGATTTGAATTTCCATTGATTTGTTGCTAACATTTATGGCCATTTTGGTTTTGTTTAGGAGGATTTGCCAAGAATATTGTGAAGCCATGAGCTCTCTCTCTCTAAGAATCATGGAGCTTTTGGGCATGAGCCTAGGAGTTGGCCCTGCACATTTCAGAGAATTCTTTGAAGGAAATGATTCCATAATGAGATTAAACTACTACCCTCCTTGCCAAAAACCAGATGTTACACTTGGAACTGGGCCCCACTGTGACCCCACATCTTTAACCATCCTTCACCAGGATGATGTGGGTGGTCTTGAAGTGTTTGTTGATAAAAAGTGGCATTCCATTCCTCCCAATTCAGAAGCTTTTGTTGTCAATATTGGTGACACATTCATGGTAACATTATCCATGTTTTTGTTCCTCTCATTATCCAAACTCTCAAGTAGTTGTCTTTAGAAATGCAAAATCTGTGATGGTTTCCAAAATGTTTTTTCTTTTTTAAATGGTGAGATGTCTAGGTTAATTTATGCGTAATTTTCTCTCTGCACCTATCAAAGGTAGGTTATCTACGTCGGGACTAGGATATTCATGAAGGATAAATTCTTCATGGTCTAACTCTAAAGAATTTAAATTCAGGACGTCTGTTTTTAAATATATTAAAGATAAATTAAGACTATCATATTTAAGAGTTGCTAATGTACCGAAAATTAATACAAAAATAAGGGTAGAATTATAACTCAATATTGTGATATTAAAATGAAACAAGGTTGTTTGATATCAATCCTAATATTGTAGGATCGATCTATGCTATTTTAAGTCGTAACAGTTCTTTTGAAGATCCAAATACAATAATAAAATATTAATCTTCAATACCTCTTTTTTTTTTTTCCATCCAATAACAATGTGAGAAATGTAAAGTTTAAATACTTTATTATGTTGCGTTACTTTATTCTTTTGTGACTATAAATAAACCAAACCAAGAACTATGGTTACAAATATTTTTTAGTGCGGTATCGAAATTTTTTTTACTCTAGCTTTATCACTTCTTAAATCGTACCTTGATATCAAATGAGTTGCCGGTGTATAAATTTCGATTCACTCCGATATCGAAGTCAATATTGCAGTCTTACCAGATATATATAAAATGGAATGATCATGTGTTCTTTTTTCAGGCTCTGTCAAATGGGATCTACAAGAGTTGCTTGCACAGAGCTGTGGTGAATAATAGAACTCCCAGAAAATCTCTTGCATTCTTTCTTTGTCCGAGGAAGGACAAGGTTGTAAGCCCACCAAAACAGCTTGTTGACACTGATAATCCAAGGAAATATCCAGATTTCTCATGGCCAACTCTCCTAGAATTCACACAGAAACATTACAGAGCTGACATGGAAACCCTCTCAGCCTTCACAAACTGGCTTCAACAAAAGAACATCACAGGAGATACAGAAAACTATTGACTCCTAGCCCTAAACTCCGGGCTGAGGCAAGTGCAAGGGCAGAGCTACATTGGTTCTAGGGACTTTTGAAAAACCTCCATTGTATGTATATGATAAAAGTTCACAACACTTGTGAAATGGTACAATATTCTCTTTTAATTTCTGAAAAGTTTGTATAATAGCTGATTTTTCAGCAAGTAATGGCCTAGTGCCCCCTTATCAAATAAAACATATATTTTGTTTTTGATAATTTAGTGTTACATAGCCCGATAACACAATTATATGCAAATCATAAAATACCTAACCGAAAAGCGACAACCAAAAGCATTTGTTGTTTTTTCAATAAAATCAAATTTTCAACAAGATAAAAATAATCTCAGTTGGGCTTTATCATAAGATGAAGGATGAATTGCTATGAAATTTAAAATTGAACTGATCAAATATAGATAATTTTTAGGAGTTGAGAGAACATCGTGCTCTACTTAAATGTGGTTTTTTTTTTTTAATGTGGTGGAGCTGAAATATAAAGATTTAAAGTTATTTTGTGTCTTTTTTATCCATATTGTGTTAGGATTGAACAATAGCGATTTTATGTTTCATTTTGTAATTGAGCCTGAATGTTTAGATATTTCTTATACTTGGACTTCAAAAAATAATTATTTATATATTGTCTCTCCAAATGAAATCTTAGCTCCACCCTGGACAAGTGACATGGAGAGAGAGAGAGAGAGAGAGAGAGAGAGAGAGAGAGAGAGGGACTTAGGGATATTTTTGGGTGGGTTTTAGCTTTTGGGGGATAAATCCCAAAGGAAAAGACCACCCAAAAAAGGCAGTGCTGTTGTAGCTGGCTGATACAGGTTCATTGGAGGGAATCATGTAGTTGATGAAACACATTGTCGGTTTAAGAGCCAAATGATCTCTTTTTTGATTGGTTCTTATTCATTGGGAGATTCAGTTAATTACTTGGGCTTTTGTCCATCTCCTAATTTGTGTTTGTCCTTGACTTAAAGCAGAAGAGTGACTTGACATGGTTCATGCAAAGTTAATCCATCATTATCTTGGGCTGTTGGCTCTTGGCAACTTGGCAACGCTGTTGGCTCTTGGAAACTTGGCAAGACTAATTAGTGAATAGAGAAGACTCTCCAAACGTTAACGTTATATCGTGTCAATATTAATAATGCTTCATAAGATAAAGATACGAGCTCTTAGAGTGCGAGTTACGGTATCCCATTAGTGAGTAAACTATTGGGCCAACCACCAATAATGAATGGTGAGGGTGTCATATAGGCATGGATTGCTACGGTTTGCTTCAATAGAATGATGAAGTGATTGGCCATTAATTTCTATGTGCAACACAATAAGACCTATTTTGAAACGCAAAGAAACAGACAAAAAAGTATGCTCTTGATAGAGAAAAATGTGGTGACTCAATGAAAACAATTGAAAAAAGAAACTTAAATCTTGGAAGAACATACTATTCCAAAAAGTGACTTGGACACAGTGCTTATTATAGAGATAGGTCAAATTCAAGGGGAAGTTATAAGTCTAATGTAATTCAAACATGAGGGGAACATTGTTAACATATTATATTATGAATGAGCTCAATATTTTACACTTCGAGGTTCTGTCCGGGTGGAAATGGCATCCACAAGTAAGGGCGCTAAAAACCTTATGTTTTTCAACAGGCTAGCGTGCCCCTGCAATAAAACTAAAGCGCTAACACCCTATCTATAGTACAGTAAAGAACCTTTTTAATAAGGCTTGTGTAGGGGGGCTCACGTTTATTGGCTCCCTTCACTCCACTAACCTTGATTGGCGGANTGCCCCTGCAATAAAACTAAAGCGCTAACACCCTATCTATAGTACAGTAAGGAACCTTTTTAATAAGGCTAGTGTAGGGGGGCTCACGTTTATTGGCTCCCTTCACTCCACTAACCTTGATTGGCGGATCAGAAGAATAATACTCTATGCATCAAATCTGTTCACCAAATAATTGTTAGTTAGATGAGAGTAGACTCACTAATCCAACGACCGACAATCATTTGGTTCACAGAAATATGTTTGGACTGCCAGCTTTTGAGCATTGAATAAGAGAATTGAACTTAATCTTGTAAAGGCTTTGGAATATCATCTACTCTTTAACAGTTTGAGGCATTTTTCTTTTGTGATGCTGATCGTTAGGGAATATCTTGTTTTTAAGCAAATTTTATGCTGGGAAGTTCTGTCTTTCCAACTTCTTATCATGATATTGTCCTTGTGAAAAGTGAAAAGGGTGGTCTGGAATTTTTATAATTCATCCACAAAATGAAGTATTGGAAAGTTATTCTTTAACAAGCAATCTTAGTACAGCTTAGTTGAATGGTGTAATATTTCATGAATGCCACGTCTTTAGTTTTTTTTTTCACTCCTTTATGTCTCACTGTCTCTACACTCCTAACTTGTTGGACATCATGTTGGTACATATCAGAAGAGTCAACATTCAACACAATTAAATAAATTATCCTTACACCAGTTCTATATTTGGCTGGTAACTAATTCTTTTATAGGGTTCAACGTCCACAATGTTATGCATTCTTATCTCCACTCCACTAGTGGATAATTACACAATTATTACTACCAGTTCGGTTCTATGGTTGACTTGATACAAGCTTAATCTTTGATATTATTTTGAATAAATTCACTACCTTCAAGTTCAAACTCGTAACCCCACAGCGACTAGCTACCCCATGTTTTTACAAATGTTCCATGCAATGGTGCAGTGGTCTCTTCAAGATTCTTTCAATCAGAAGCCAAGGTGTAGTTACAGGTTTTATTACGCCCCTCTTTTCGGATTCTCTTCACTGCTCTATAGATGATCTCTCCTCTATTGTCGACACAAATATATTACTCAATTATTTATTTTAATTATGATCTATCAATATGAATATGACAAAATGATCGAAATGTAGCATTGGTGTAATCGTAACATGTATGATGGGCCTTTCAGTGATCCATAAGCCAAAAGAATGAGATACCAAAATTGGAAGTTTTGTCATATTAGAGGTTAGCAGTGGGAGGTGTTTGAAGGTACTGATGTTTTATTTTAGGGACAATGACTGGGAGACAAGTTATCAATCAACAAAACAGAAACAAAGTCTAGGATGTGGAAAATTCTTTTATTATTTTGACATGGGATGAATGGAACAAGTATCAGAAAGAAAGGGAAACAAAACTCCCTTATAATCAAAGCTAAACCATAAAAGGGTTCGTGTTTTGTACGCAAAACTCTCGTTTGTAGCAAGGTTTCAAAGCGATAAGTAGTTATGATGATCTTTCTTCTTTTTTGAAAATAGTGATTTTCAAACTCAAACTTGCGACATAACTTGAATGAATGAATATTTTTCATCTCTCCACGTGTTCACATCTCTCCATAGTCAACCTCTATCATTTTCAGTAGTCCTTTTTTTCCGTTGAAGTCAGCGTATATCCCTAACAAAAGATGGTTTTAGATGTTCTCTTGGTTAGGTAAGTTAATTCCATGATGGATGATCCAAGAGGGGTAGCTCTTCCTCTTTGTAAAACATATTTTTTTTCCTCGAAACAAAAATCTCTTATAATCAAAGCTAAACGACAAAGGGCCATGTTTTGTGCACAAAACTCTCATTTGTAGCAGGATTTTAGAGCAATAAGTAGTTGGCACATCACATTGGCAGTGATCTTACTTCTATTTTGAAAAGATTGATTCTCAAACTCAAACTCGTGACGTAGCTTGAATGAATGAACATTCATCATATCTGCATGAGTAGATGAAACTGAAACTAGAGCCCAGTTTTACATTAGAAACTACACATGTATCCTGTTAATGCAACTCTTTTAACTCACTTGATTTCTGTTTAAAAATTTTGAAACCACAGATGCATCCAACTCACAAAAGGCCATTTTCTTTTCTCTAAGGTATTCTTTTTTTGAAAAGTCTTTCTAGGGAATTCAGTATCATATCCAACAACTATCCATCCATGGAATATTAATTTAACTCAATTTAAACACAACTTGTGATACAATACGACACAATACGAAAAGGTGACTTCCGTAGACTTTTTCCATTCTAATTTTTTTAGATTTGCTTGTTGTGATGTAAATATATACTACCATTTGTTTGTTTTGGCTTAAAACTTACTCCATCAGTACAACAAAAGAAATTTAGTTACATATATCAAATATCCTTTTAATTGAAACTTTCAGGTCAAGATGCCCCATATTTATACATTTAAATTTATGGAGAATTACACTCACACCTCCTGAAGTTTATCACTTAATTATTCAGACCCCTGATATTTGAAATATTACACATAGACCACTTTCCATCAATATCCGTTATTATATCAGTTGATAAATTATACTCAGATCCCTTAAAATTTGTAGACGTGTAATACTTTAACCCCTCAATTTTACAATGTNCTCCTGAAGTTTATCACTTAATTATTCAAACCCCTGATATTTGAAATATTACACATAGACCACTTTCCATCAATATCCGTTATTATATCAGTTGATAAATTATATTCAGATCCCTTAAAATTTGTAGACGTGTAATACTTTAACCCCTCAATTTTACAATGTTATACTTAAACTAAAAATACTTTAATCAAAGATAAAATATCAAATATTTTAAGTTTTCAACCAAAATTCATGTTCTATTATGACATTTATTGAAATAAAATCAAAAATAAAATTCATATTTTTTCTTAAAAAATCATAATTAGTATGCAATTATACTATATATTAGAATTTAATTTGGTAGTTTAAACAACCAAATTACCTCAATTAAATGTAAAAGATATATTGTGTCAATTACAATTTGACCACTTGTTTGACTTTTTAGTTTTATTCAAATAGATAATATAATTGTATACTAATTATATTTTTTAAGAAAAAAATAGATTTTTATTTTTGATTTTATTTCAGTAAATGACATAATAGAACATGAATTTTGGTTATAAAATTCATGTTCTATTATGAATGGCTTGGACTCCTTATTTAAT